CGTCGTGATATCAACACCTCAGTAGAATAGCTTCCACCCGCAGAGGTTCAGGATTCCAGAGTTTTGGCGCTTCGCTGATGAGAGTTCAACAATGTCAAGTTGGTATTTTATGGCCTTATCAACTAACTCGTGTTTTTTTCCTCTGAGTGAGGATGTATTCCCATTTCCGACTGTACGCACCCACTGGCGGTGTCGTTCTCGGTGTGCTGCTACGCCCCCGGCTAGCAGTGGGCGATGAGCAGGTTCTGATCGCCGACTTTACGCAGTCTGCCTCGATGCCCCAACAGCCTGCTCAGCCCTTGGTAACCCCGGCGACGACCGAGCCGGTATAATTTTCTATGACGTCTATACGATGAAGGGCAGGTGGCAAAATTTTACGGAGAGTTTTCCATGGTCTCCAACGCTTCTCCTTTTATTACCGGGCTTAGGACCGGAAACGGCAGAGTTTTGAACTGTCATGATGCCATATAATACTTTACCGCATCTTAAAGTTTTTTAGATGTGCATATGGAGAAACCTTACCTGTTAATAACGTCGGTTATCTGTTAACAGTAAGTTCGTAAGAAAGAAGCACTTCTTTATTCGTTCGCAAGTCCTCGTTATGCAACATTTATCCCGAGTTTTTCCTTCGAAAACTCGCTTAAGTGTGCATAGGCAAAAGTCTAATTTTAGGACTGAGGCGCAGTTCTAGATATATGGAGTACGCCGATTACAGTGCCTTGATGTGCAGCATGGGTGTCTGGCCTTGACGTCGGCGAACTGCTTCCATATGTAACCTCGCTAAGAAAGCCGGTGTGTTCCTTAACCTCAAAAAATCTAATTTTTTGCGCATCCCATACAGAACAACAAACCCGGAAGTGCAACAGACCTGAAATGGTGGAGGTGCACTAGTTTAACTACCTCGGTTACATCATTTCTGGAAACGGTACCATCAGATTAGGGTAAAATTCGAGGATTGCCTTTGCTTCCAGTCCTTTCGGTAGCATGTTTAATCGCTGAGTAGACAAAAGTATCTTTTCCAACGAAATTCCGCCTTCACACCTAATGGTCGAGTTCGTGCTGCTATACTGGACAGGAGACCTAATTCCAACGAAATATTAAGAGTGAGTGTTGATGAAGGCTGTTGAAAGCTGCGCTGCTTTCGACGCAAAACGAGAACTATATGCCAGAGTCATGTAAGGAGTGACTATATTCGCCCCTGAGTTCATGTACCGTCTGCTGAACTAGAGATCGAGAAAAGTTGGTTGGCATTATTTGACGAACTGTGTGAACTTAACCAAAACCAGAAAATTTCACAAGTGTAAACTGAAACAAAACAAAAACGGCGAACAGCAACATGGAAGTCAGAAAACAGAATGGACCAACAGTGAAGACAGACAGAATTCAGAGAAGAATTGTTCTATTCACAGTACAGCAACCAGCACCTTAGAGCAAAAGTGTTGAAAAGCTGCGAATACAGTGCCAAATCCGGGCATGATCCGCAACCGCAAACTGATCACGGTGCAGATGAAAACAAATAAAAATATGGCAAGTAACCAGCATCAAGCATTATCACCATCAACCTTCTGCAATCCACCGCTGGACGAAGGCCTCTCTAGGACCTTGCCATACATTTCTGTTTTTTGCCATTGCTATCAATCTTGATCCCGCGAACTTCTTTAGCTCACCCTGCCATTGAGCAATTCTTCCACGGGCCGCTTACTTCTGACGGAACCCAGTGTAATGTCTCTGGTCCAGCAATGGTCGGTTCTTGAAACGTTTCCTGCCTACTGCCACTTTAACTTCTTCATTCGGACAATGACATCGCGGATTCTTGTTTGTGCTCTTACCCGTTGGTTCGTTTCCGATTTTTTCTTATTCCAAAAACACATCTGTCTATGATGCGCTGCGTAGTCTGCAATTAATGAACAGTTTCAGACTTAAGGTCCACGTTTCGTGCTGGATACAAACAGTGATCGAAAACTTTCTATTTCAAAAAAATGGGTAGTTTCCAGAATTAGAAACAATTTCAATCTTCCAGAAGTATTACATTCCATTTTTAATCTTGTTGATTTCACATAGCCGGTTCTCCTTCGCAAAGATGAGCTATCTCAAACACGTAATTTTGCACCTCTTCAAGTCTATGCACGTTCACTTCAATAGGCCTCAGGATGACGTGCTTGTTAAACAAGACTGGAACCTTCTAAAAATTTATTTTCAGTCCTACTTTGATACTGGCGTAAACCAGCTCTTGACTTCATTTTTTGGAGCCATTCTGATGACCAAGAGAAGCTCACTATATCGTCCGCAATCCGCAGATGGCCTAAGAAGTGTCCAATTATGCTCAACCCGTGATTTTCTTTAGAAAACGACTTCTAGGACTGTTGTGAATAGCTTGGTGATATTGCGTCTACCTGTCGGACGACATTTTTGACTTTGAACTTGCATATGTTTTCGTGACCATCGCTCTCTACATGAGAAAACTGGCTCACTATGAACATTTCTGTTGGGAACAAAACAAAAATAGCATGATGGCAATGCTGAAAAGAGAAGTAAACCTTTTCAAAGTTAACACAGAAGCATAACGATACCCCTAGAAATCAGTAATGGTGCATGCTACAGGAATAACACACTATTTTACAGAAACTGGGATAAAAATAATACATTTCGTAGTGAAAAACTGCGTACAAATATTTACGCATTTACCCTAGGAGGTTCAAAGTTCGGTCGCCACCAATTCCCAATGGTGTCTTCAACGATCCAGTCATGCTTGACGCCATCTTGTCGACCGAGACACTGAAAAATATTAGATAACAGGAGAGCGACGTTGCAGATATTCCCATACCTCAGTTAGAAGCCGTTTCAAACCTTCTACTTCGTCTTCGCCTGGTTCTAGTTCGCCTCCTGGCCTAAATTTTACCACGAACGTTTCATCGTAATAAACCTGCTAACTGTCCGATGGTCCTAGTAATTACTAGCTGGCCAACACTTTACGCCGACGAAAACAAAACCCTCATCCGAACTTCTCAGACATTCCATCTCTCAAATGGCAGCATTAGATATCGTCTATGTGGCAGTGAGCGCATTAACTCGTAGTCTGAGCTATACTTAGTAGTACTCAGGCACTTTCAGAAAATCAGTCACCCACCCATTTTTCCCGATGACTGCACGTACTCTGCAATACTATCCCATTTTGAAATCAGGAGTGATGATAGACTTATGAGAAAACTATTCAGATTTAGTTATCACGAACATTCTTCTGACGCCAAGAGAATGACTATCTGGTGATAACTTATAAAGCAATAGAATGCTACAACTATATTTAAGTGTGCACCAAAGGGGCAGACACTTGTTTTCATACGCCAACATTTCCAACGGCATATATACAAGAAGTTGCATCAAGCCGCCGGTTTTTTTTAGGAAACTGTGTAGCACTTTCGGTTTCATTAGCTAACCACTAAAGGATTTCTGACTGACCTTAGTGAGAAAACACATCGCCACGCTTCACAGTGGTCCGCGAGGCTGTCTAGAGACGTGCAATGATATTAGCATATAACGATTACGGTAGAGCATTAACAGAAGGCGTTTGTTTAGTGCACACTATGCAGAGTGCTATTTAATGACTACCACTAAAATGATGCTATCTCTCGTATAAGAAAGGATCCAAATAACCAAATGATGAACTTTGCATTGGTACCCGTTTCTCAACTCGCATTCGACTCATTACTGAATTAATGTTTGTTTGTTATACTGCTATCATTACTTCGAACCGTTTGTACAAGCAGAACGTCCATGGTTTCTGATGTCGATATTCGCTGCATTCACAGCTTCTCAATACTTACACCATATAGCATCGGTTAGCCCACCGCAGGAGATCACCTCTATCTTGTTCATCCTTGTTGTACGCTAGCCGACTGGTAGAAGTCTGAGGCATTACACTTTCTACCTAGCTGATACACTGACGGTAATTATGGGATTCCCTTTTTAGGTATTTAAAACAATATAAAACACGTTTTATTTATACACATTGCAAAAATGGCCAATCGGATGACTGACCAGCGCCGACGCTTCAGCCTAATCTTGAGCTACTTCAAGGCAAAGCGACTGTGATGGACTGACTCTAGAAGCCCTTTCGCCGTTCGAAGGGTCAGTACTCGTAGAGCCAGAAGGCCAAACTCTTCTGGTTTCATAAGTACCAACCGCTGCGAACAAGTAAATCAACCAACTTCCTGGCCTTGAAGAAGACAATTGAGACACGACCGAAATGTCGACAGTGATCAGTCATCCGAAGGACCATATTATGTGTTATTATATAAATAAACCGTGTTCTATTTACAACAGTTACGTCACTGATTATCGCACTGCACAACATTTGAACGAGAGGTCATGTACATACTTGAATATCAGTAGACGAAAGAAAACTGAAGCCTCCGTGACGCCAAAATGTTTATTTTTCAGGTTATTCTAATTTTAGTTGACTGTACACAAAGACAATGACGGAATGATTGGGAGTACGCTCTTTCACCCAAAGAAAGCATGATAAAATCCATCTATGTTGTCAATCTGGAATTTTAATTCTGTCACAGAATAGGACGATGACTCATGAACAGATCTTGACTATGCGGATCAATGATATCAAGAAACGGAAACAAAATAACGTGTTTTTGGCACCACTTCAATGGTTCACCACTGCGAGATTAAGCGTGACAACGGTGATCCAACTAATATGTTCATGCGTAATCTCTTTGAACTGAAAATAACAAATGTCCTGCATAAAGTTCACGCCTGTAAACTGCTTGACACGTAGCCATATGAATTTGTCTTAATGTACGACAGAAAGATTCGCGAATTCAGCGACAGAAAACTATCAGGCACTATGCCATTTTCACAAAAAAAAGCTATATTGCATTTAAAGTATGCTGAAAACAAGCACTAAGTAAAACAAAGCTATCCTTACAGACGAAAAAAAGTTGTGCCGAGTTGAAGAAGCAGAACATGGGGCAGACTGTGCTCATGCACTAGTAAAACACCTTCGACAGAGCGTCTCATGCCGACCTTGTCATACTCGTCCCTCATTCTCTGGAAGCGAGCCTGCACCGACTGGTCGCGTTCGTACAGCGGCTCCTTGGTACCGAAAGTATAGCTGGTAAGGGGGTACCTGAATCACGGGAGGCGTAGACGGTTACGAGGTATAAAAACGAGAAGTTAAACGAACACGTCGTACAGGTTGATCGAGCGGTTGATGGTTACGACGCTAGCGCTCACACCTGTCGTGTACTTGGTCGACAAAGGCGTGCTGGCAATGGACTGCGAACTTCCACGAACGAGAAGCGATCGTACAGCGGTAGCCATGGTCTCCTGAAAGCATAACACATTACGATAAATCATAATGCGCGTCAAAAACACTATTGACAGCGGAAACGCGTGGGTAATATCGAGGCTGACTCGCCCCGCATCTATATCCCTGGCCAAAGCTTGACTGTCTCTAATTAAAAAATTAAGAACCAGAGCACAAAAAGTAACCAATCGAAGGCTAACAGCAGAGAGACAACGTTTTAGTGTTATTCCATTCCAAGTGTCATTCGCTGTTTAAGGAAGAATTGACTTGATGTCGATGAAACATTTTATCATGCTTTTTGCATGAATAAAAGCATACAGAGGCCGTTCTCAATCCTTCCATCTCAGTATATAGTGAGAGCACTTTTGCCAGAAGAGTTCATTAAAGACAACAAGATGATCTGCAAGCATTTGGTTACGGTGTTTCGTTCGGATACCACGCTAAACTTTAACGCAAGATTTCAAAGGTATGGTGGCGGAAAGTAGAAATTGAAACATTTTATCGCAATATCCGCGGTGGCTAACTTTTTACTTTCGTTACTTCTTGTTCTCGACGACACGAACGGAGGAGTAGGAGTTACATTTTGGAGTAGAAGTAACCAAACAATTACTCAAACAACAATTTTAGAGTATTATACAAACAGTCAATATGTACGAAGGCAACAAGCAAACGTATTTTGTTCCGGAATCGGCCAATAACGCATTGCAGCTTCTGACGCAACCGATTTGGAGGGAAAAATGTAATGTTCACACCATGAAAGCATAAAAGCAGAGCTGCTTAGGTTACTCGGACTAAAGGAAATCGGTATTGCAGACTAAATAACCAGACTTCTTAAGTTTCTCTTCTTCTAAAAATTACTATGACCGGTGCACTGCACATATCTTAGATCAAGGAAATGCGTTGTGAGAGCAACTCAGCAACCTGGCTCGACCATTTTTATGCTGTCAACAGTTTAACACGGCGAAAATTGCACAATGTGCTTCATCGCCGCGGCATCAATCGGTACGTTCTTAAATGGCTTCAGCGGATTACCTGTCAAACTGAAGACAGTTTATTTGACTTAGCCTCTTTAGATCTCTCATCTTTTCAAACAATAGAGGTGGCTCGAAAAGGCTGTGCTTCTCCCTATTTTTTTACGTCATAGAGAAAGACCTCTGAACAAACCATGTTCCATGCGTGCAATATGCAAAATAAAACTGTGCAATAAGATCAAAACTGGACCTTGCTTGCTATCAGAACTGTTGCAATACACTCTCAGTTCAAGCGCAGAACCCGACTCTGATCAGTCGAACGCACATTCGCAAAGACAATATGAGGCCTTCGGAGTGACTTGCTTAATTTGGCTGAGGCTAAACCAGGTCCTGATGTTTCTAGCTTAACACCCGGTTCAGTCGCGAAATATCTAGGTATCCTGATAAGCAGCAGACTTGGCCGCAGTGCGCATGTTGGTCATTTAAACGGCCAAATCAGACGGGTCTTCTATTATGCGTGATGACTGAGAAATCGTTGATAATCTTTTCGTAAAGGCTTGCATCATAGCTGTGGCTGGTAATTCTGCGCCTGTATTTTCTTCCAGAAGAACTCGTGAAGGCCTGACGATCCTCAAGGACCGTACTTTCAAAACAATATTGAAAAACGTCTAAAAATCGACCTGATCGCTGGGGCTGATTCTGGCGGAAGGCAATTTTTGTCTCAGCCACGAATTCGTCTGAGCAAGTAGTTCAAATATTGCTTCAGACATGGCTCGGCTAATCGGTACAGTGCATGACTCAGGCCCGAGAGGTCCCGGATTAGAG